CAATGGTACCATGTGACTGAGTCATTTGGTACCATGTGACTTGGAGCAATGGTACCATGTGACTGAGTCATTTGGTACCATATATCCAAGATACGTGTGACCTTGTTAAGTAAGATAACTTAATGTAAACTTACAGTATCTGTGAGCCATACTCCCACTTGTAGAAGATCTTCCCAAAATTTTGACGTACGTATTCCATCCAATTCTGACTTCCACAATCGCGTCTCTCGCGGATTCTTCATAAACTCCCATAGAGCGTTGGCCCGTGGACCAGATGTTTCTACAAATCCTGGATTCCTGATGAGACCTCCACGCGGGTTGACACGCTCTGGATTCCATACAAATACCTTCTCTTCACTTGACGAATGCAGAATTCCTTTCTCAGTCTCGACCGCAGCAATGTCATCCTCAGAAGCTTCTTCCTCATCGTCGTCTTCCCCAGCAACATCCTCCTGGGCAGTGTTATCTCGACCTCTGCCGCTGCCTCGACCTCTGCCTCTGCCTCTGCCTCGGCCTCTGCCTCTGCCTCTACCTCTGCCTCGACCTCTGCCTCTGCCTCGACCTCCTACAGCCTGAGATCTTTGTCTTTTGGCCGGTGGACCAGTTGATGTTGGTTCTACATAAGGGCTTCTTTTGGATGGTCCATCAGTAAGCTTCCTCTTTGTTCTTTTCAACTGTTCTGTATCAGAGGAGTCAACTGTTGGTGGAGGTTGATTGACTTCATGTTCAACAGGGGGGGCAGACATATCTGTGTCTTCATTGGTTTTGGCAGCCGATTCTTTGTCAGAAGATTCAGCTGCTGTATCATCGTCGTCGGTTCCCTCACCCTCTTCGCCATTGGTATCATCGTCATCGGCGTCATCCTTTTCAGAATCTTCATCGGTTGTCTCACCCTCATCACCATCGGCGTCACCCTCTTCTTCCGTGTTCTCATCGCCACTGCCAGCATCATCGTCACTATCATTCTCTTCAGCATCTTCTTCGGGGACATTTTCTGAACAAAACACAAGTTATGCACAGATTAATTAAAACATGTGACCAAGTAAATATGGTCTCATGTGACCAAGTAACTATGGTCCCATGTAACCAAGTAAATATGGTCTCATGTGACCAAGTAACTATGGTCCCATGTGACCAAGTAAATATGGTCTCATGTGACCAAGTAAATATGGTCCCATGTGACCAAATAACTATGGTCGCATGTGACCAAGTAACTATGGTCGCATGTGACCAAGTAAATATGATCTCATGTGATCAAGTAATGTGACCAAATGACAAAGTTTGAATACTTACTTCCTACTTCTGCGTCCATGGAAGAAAGATCAACCTCTTTAGGCGAGGGCTCTTTCTCCTTGCTCGATGCCTCTTTCTCCTTAGGAGACGGTTCTTTCTCTGTAACCAATGCCTCCTGGGCAGTTGTCTTCTCTTTTTCTGACTCCAATGGAGTCACATCTCTCGGTCTTAATTCAAAAAGTCCAACATCTTGATCATAGTATTCGTCGGTACCGCCAGAACACATCAAAGGACTTGTCGTAACTCTTTCTTTCGCAACAGAACTTTTTCTGAGGTTCTCTTGCACTATGGACCTGAGCGTTGCTGTGGACCTGAGCGTAGATATGTCCTTATCTACGATCTGTCACCGGATTCTCCTGCACTGTGGGACTTGGGACAAATCCTTCTTTTCCAAGGAGTCCAACCTCCTTTAAAAGCCCTCTCACAGCATCGATGATTCTCATCTCGGATGCTTTAGCCACGGCCCTGAAATCGGCCTTCAATTCGGTCTTCAGTGCTTCGAGACTTGACACTCCGTGAACTCTTTGTGCTCCCTTTTGTATCCCTTGTGGTGGTATGACTCTTTCTTGCTGTTGTTGTCATTGTTGTACCTCTTGTTCTTGTTGTTGTTGTTCTTCTTCTTCTCGTCCCTCATCTTCTATTTCATCTTCATCTACCAAGCTTTTCCCCTTCTTCTTTTTCTTTGAAGATTTTCTGGAACGAATTTCCATTTCATGGATTTTTTTTCCAGTATATGCTCTCCGGATTCCTCTCAAGATATTGCATCCATACTTTAACCGTTGGATCTTCACTTCCATCGAGATCCTCTACATCAAAAAGAAGAGCTTCTTCTGTCGCTTCCTTCTTAAGAATGCTCTTAATTCCCTGAAAAATAGATGAGACTTATTGTTACCATATGCATCATGTGACAGTTAGTCTTTGTACATCCCGTTGGCACCCAAATTTGATATGCATTCGAAAGGAAGCAACTGTACCATATTGTGTAAATATTAAATTCCAAAACAAATCAATGTAATAACGGTACTTTTCATTTATACACATAGTGAAAAACACTTACCATAAGAGGGATTATAAACCCACGACAGTGCCATTTCTTCTTTGGCCCTCCACTTCCGAAACTCTTTCTTACTTGATCAATCATTCTATCAAATGT